TCTATCTATCTATCTATCTATCTATCTATCTATCTATCTATCTATCTATCTATCTATCTATCTATCTATCTATCTATCTATCTATCTATCTATCTATCTATCTATCTATCTATCTATCTATCTATCTATCTATCTATCTATCTATCTATCTATCTATCTATCTATCTATCTATCTATCTATCTATCTATCTATCTATCTATCTATCTATCTATCTATCTATCTATCTATCTATCTATCTATCTATCTATCTATCTATCTATCTATCTATCTATCTATCTATCTATCTATCTATCTATCTATCTATCTATCTATCTATCTATCTATCTATCTATCTATCTATCTATCTATCTATCTATCTATCTATCTATCTATCTATCTATCTATCTATCTATCTATCTATCTATCTATCTATCTATCTATCTATCTATCTATCTATCTATCTATCTATCTATCTATCTATCTATCTATCTATCTATCTATCTATCTATCTATCTATCTATCTATCTATCTATCTATCTATCTATCTATCTATCTATCTATCTATCTATCTATCTATCTATCTATCTATCTATCTATCTATCTATCTATCTATCTATCTATCTATCTATCTATCTATCTATCTATCTATCTATCTATCTATCTATCTAATCTATCTATATTCGTTCAAATATCCCACATCTTTTTTTTTTATATTTTCGATAAACCAGGCCACAGTCCGGCAAAATTTTGGGATCTTTGACACTGATCTCACGTTTTAGCAGCGATAATTGGTGAGAGTGAAAATGTTAGCACTCATTCTGTTGTCGCGTCGCTGCTGTCAACACTGCTTCGGGTATTTTCGTTTCTGAAAATTTCACTACGCGAAGACTTGTGCTATTTACCAGAAATGTTCGGGTAGCTGAGATATGACATGTAGCGGTATAGATAGTAGTTACGTCCGTGGACTCCGACCACGAATTTCATTTTTAGGGAAGACATGTAATTTTACAAGTATTCTAGCTATGATCAATTTGAACTTTGAGAAGAATTTTTTTTTTTCGATACTACACCTCTACTGTATACAAGTCGGGACCTGATGAATTCCAGCTGCGCCTTCAATTTATCATCAAGAATACAACATGTTCACAGGAATACTGCCTTGTCACGTGCTTCCGCCTTGTCATAGGCTTCCGCCTTGTCATAGGCTTCCCCATATATTTTGTTGTTTAGTAAGTGGTATTCATTACCGATGCTGTGTGTTCCACATCAACCTGTATAAAATTTAGGAATAGGTATCAGGCATGTCCATGTATTCCATATAAGATGCTGCATATTCAGATTAATGATTGTATTCATTTTTTTTTCAGATTAGCAAGCAGAAACCACTGCTCAACAATAAGATTAACACTTATTTGAATACTGAAGAAGGTAAAGCGATGTTTTGTATCGTTCACGAGTTCCTTGAATTTTGTGGTTTGAAGTTTACTCTATCAGTTTACGAACCTGAATCTTACTTAGAAACTAAGATTGATTATGAAGAAAGGCAACAGATAGTCGATAAACTAGGTTTGCAAAGTGATGGAACTGGACCTCTTTTATTGCATCTCTTACAAAGTACGAAAGCAAAGTCAAGAAGTATAGAAATAAATTTGAACATTGGTGCTAAATTTGATCAAGATAAATCTGAAAGTGAAGATAAATCTGATAGCCTTGTTAAAACTATGCCAGTTAGTGATTGTTCAGATATTATTGAGAACAATAAATCGTTAGAAGTTAAGACTCTTCGTGATGAACAAAAGTTTAATGCTACATTCGACCTATCTAGTCCAACTGTTGATGTTCTGAAAACAAAGCATACTGAAAATCATGAAAAGGTGAATAGGTTCGATGAAACCAATGGATATCAAAATAACATTAACAAATCTTCAGACATAAAAACTGGAAACAAAGATGATACTAATGGAGATTCAAGTTCTCTAGTGGATGACACTGATTCTCAATTCAACGACACAAACAATGCAGATAAAGTACCTGAAATAACCGTCAGTGGCTCAGACGAAATTAACTCAAAGGAAAAAGTTTCTGAAAGATCCAAAATATCTCCCCCAAAGGCTGATAAACTGAAAGCAAAGAGTAGTTTGAGTTCGCTGACTGATCTTCCACCTCTGCAACTCAATAAGTCTCGTGTCAATGATATCCTACCATCATTGTATAGTAAAGAATTCAAGGAGAAGTCCAACCTACGCGAACTTGATAAACTCTTTGAGATGGAAGCAGAATATGAAGAAGACTTTATTTGTGATGGGGATGACTTGTCACTGAAATCAGAGAGGTCAAAGGTCAACTTATTAGATGAATTACAAAATGCTGCTAAGAATAGATCAACCGATGAATCTATCAAGAATGACAAACAGAAATCACCCAATAGACAGATTTCTGATTCTAACACCGTGTTCAAACATTTTGAAGGAAGTCTCAAGAGAACAGATAAAGGCCATTCAGAAACAAATTCAGAATAATTTATTAATACTTACAAGTGAACGTATATTGTATTTCGCTCCATTCACAGATACTTTGATTTCCTTGAAAAGATTCCAAACAAAATTATTTCACATTTGAAACGAATTTATGAGGCCATGGTCAAGAGGCGAGCTGACATTTGAATTAAATTCTATTACCAACTTGATCTAGATAATTTTATATAAACTGCTCAACACATGCAACGTAATTTCGCATTTTTTCTATCAAATTCGTCACAACTTTCGATTGTCTCATCAGATTTTGAATTATTTTTCAGTTTCTGAATGCTCGTTTCATTGGCAAACGGGGTATTTTTATAAGATAATGCATAGTTTGAAGCTCTAATTTCTATTGTATTTTTGTACCTGTCATCCTGGTTCGAACGGTGGTCGAATATCTTGAAATGATGCATTATCAACATATTCTCATATACAGGGTGGTATTCAAACAACAATTGTGGATGTCATCGAGTTAAAAAAAAATCAAATTCTCGATTTGACGAGCAGGATAATTTCGAGGCATTCTTATGTGAGGAAAACGATTAAGAAGTTTTCTGGCGATCAAAGCGTGTAGGAGAAATTGTCTTCATCATGTTAAGTGGCTACAGAATCTGTTGTATGATCGAACTACTGGATTTTTCAGAAGAACCGGATTCTCAAAGCGTCGTTTTCACTTTGTGATACATGTTCAAAAGTTTCAAGGCAAATGACATGACATGCAACTGACAGAATTTATCTCAATTGCAGTCGCGGTGAACGTTTTCACGTTGGACTTGAATTAAATGTATGTCGAAATTAAAAAAAAAAAATAGAAGACGTGACCCACTAAACACAGTTACATTAGAGAGATATCGCACGATGTGACAATTGTGATCTGTGATATCATATTCCATGTCGCATATACTTCGCTGCGATGTCAGAGGGATGTTATTTTGTCCCACTCAAGTTTCATCCAAGCGTCGTCGCTGCCACAAGTTCTCTGCGATATAACAGCGATATATTTTTTGCAATGTAGTTGCATCTCATGGATGTCATTTCACAGAAGTGTTTGCTTTTGTACATCGCAGCGATGGGACATTCGTAATATTGCAGTGTTGCCTCATCGCGACATCTCGGAGATATCATGTCGCAGATGTGTTTGCTTATGGACATCGCAGCGATGTAACGTTTGCGATGTCGCATTGCTACCTAAACGGGTCATCTAAGAAATGTCATATCACAGGCTGAGAAGTCACATAGTTATGGAAAGAAGAGTATCCAGGCACAAAAAAACATGATAATTTCATATTGAATTCCATCACAGTGTTCCAGTTCCATGACTTCATCAATAACACCAGTTCAAATGGCATCAATCAATATTACGTTTTATAAAATTCAACAATGAAGTGAACATGATAAGTATTAAAAATCAAAACACATGAATTCTTGATAGTCAGTTCGGCCCCTCTCGGTCGTATAGAAGAGATAAAGCTCGCTCAATGAAATCAATTTCCGATTCTCGTCGACCTATTGCAATTTTGATGAAATCTATCAGTTGTATGTCATGTCTCGCAAGCAACTTTTTCATTTAGGCATCATCCTGTATATATCATCATGCTATCTCATTTGCCTTGAAACTTTCTTTCAAACATGTAACTCAAAGTGAGAACGATGCTTTCAAAATCCCTGTTCTAAGTTCTAGTGGTTCGATCTGACAATAGATTCTGTAGCAACTTGACATGGTGACGGCAATTTCCTCCTACACGCTTCGATCGTTGATCGCCAGAAAACTTTTCAATCAGTTTCCTCACATAAGAATTCTTCGAAGTTTTCTTGCTCGCCAAAACAAGGATTTGATTTTTTTCATTACTTGATGACATAATTGTTGTTCAAGGACCACCCTGTATATACGAATATGTTGATAATGCATCATTAAAATCGGTTGAGGCAATCACAAGCTATGATAATTCAAATTTGTTGTGTTGGGCAGTTTATTATGGGTATAAAAGACATTCAAAGATAGATGTATAAAAAATATGATATGGTAGAGCGAATCTCATTCAAAATCATAATATAGTTACATGTTTTCATGCAAATCACTGTTCAAATACATGTAGTAGGCGCCTACTTACCAAGTGAAACAGTTTTTAACAGAACCAGCACTAAAACCATTGAGAAACTCAAAAAATGTCACGAATTAGATAGGAATTAATAATTGTATTCTGTCTCACATTCCATTGGGACTTTTGCGTTAGGTAGTTGATAAGTTATTATTGTGTACTTAATATTTTAATTTATCTCAATATTGTGCCTTATGAATACTTTTGACGTTCAATTACGAATTGCTCAAAATATTGTTTTGTGGAGAATTGAAAAGAAAACAGGAATAAAATATATTTTTTTATTAACAAAGGGATTTAACTTCTTACAACTAGTATAGTGGCCATATAAAATAAAAGGGCCAGTATCAGTTCCTGAGAAGAGATAGGTTATAAAGAAAAAATGACTATTTTGATGCTCCGGAACATTTACATGTGACTTCTCTCTTTTTGGATTCGGATGCTATAAGCTCTTGATACTAAGTTCCATGAGTCCATATACCTGTCCATGCACATGGCTACGCATTTCTAAAAAAAATCATATCCTGATTTTTCATGATGGTTCACGATCATCTCCGAACTTCACTGGAGTTATTATCAGTAATCTCTATTCGAATTTCAACTCGACTTGCAACATTTCGCAAAGGTGATTTTGGCATGAATGTATTTTTTTGCCTTCAGTGAATTTTATATACAGGGTGTTTCTTAAGAACGTGTAGAAAATTCAGGAGCATGTTGCTGACGTCAAAATAAGAAGAAAAGTTCGTATAAATATATGTCCGAAAGTTATTCGTTTCTAAGATAAAGAGTGTGAAAGTTGAATTCTCATTTTTGTTTTTTGTTAATAAATTTCAAACTAATTCAAATATTCGAATGAAGTTTGGTATCAAGGGGTATTTTTCAATGATAATATTAAATTTTATGTTAGTTTGTCTCTTCCAAGAAGGTGGTGCCACCTACAAGTCCTTTGAGTCTTTCAAAAAGTCATAACTTTTTTGTGCGTACCTGTATCACGTTTTATAGTAGGAAAATAGATTTCTAGAACACTTTCGTATAAAAAATATATTCCTGCTAGAGGTCGTTGCGAGCAACTGTTTTCGAGTTATTGGGATTTGAAATAATCAATGCAAGTAATTTGGAATGACAAGAAATTGGAATTCAAAATTGATTTATTAAGTAAGGAAAATTATTTCTCTCTATTTCATTTCAAAATAGGAATCGGGTGTAATTACAATTTGATACTAATAATAATAACAAACTTACTGTCACAAGAAAGGATTGAAATAACATGACAAGTACTCACTTGATTGTTATTTTTTTGAATTGGAAGTCCAAAAGAGTAGGTACGAAGAAGTAAGAATCATCTTTTCCTAATACGAAACGTGATGCAGGTACGCACAAAAGAGTTATGGCTTTTTAAAAGACTCAAAAGACATGTAGGTGGCGCCACCCTCACGAAAGAGACAAACTAACATAAAATTTGATATTGTCATAGAAAAATACCCCTAGATATCAAACTTCATTCAAATATCATGATTATTTTGAAATTTATTAACAAAAAACAAAAATAAGAATTCAACTTTGACACTCTGTATCTCAGAAACGAATAACTTTCGGACAAATACAGAGTGGGCCTTTGAAAACGAAACAGAGGCTTTGTAGGTCGCCAAAACCGGATTATCAAAAAAAACTGGAACACGTCAACTACATTTTCGAGGGGGACATCTTTCTAAAATATTTTCAGCCCTGCGGCGTTGCCGCTTCTAACAAAATGAAGCAACAACTTTGTTATTTTAACTGGTGAATTTCCTGATACCCTGAAAACAGGAAAAATCATTCCCATCCATAAAAAAGGCCCTGTCAACTGTATGGATAACTATAGACCGATAACAATTACGTCCAGCTTCTCGAACATCTTTGAGAATTCATTTTTAGATCGTCTCCTGAAATTTTTAAAAAAGTTTGATATTTTTAGCAAAAACCAACACGGATTTATAAGTGATCATTCAACAAATACAGCCGCAATTTCATTTTTCGAAAAAGTTGCTGAATTCTTTGAAGCAGGAGAATGTCCCGCTGGGATCTTTTGTGATCTCAGCAGGGCATTTGACTGTGTTAACCATCAAATTTTACTATCAAAACTGTACAACTATGATGGAGTTAGGGGTTCAGCCCTCGGTTGGATTTCTTCCTTCTTAGTTAACCGACTGCAATACGTTAACATACCAGGGCAAATCAATTCTGAAACGAAATTAGTGAATATAGGTGTTCCGCAAGGGTCTATACTGGGGCCAATTTTATTTCTTCTGTACACCAATGATCTTGAGGAGTACCTAACAGAGTCCTATGTAACGATGTATGCTGATGACACTTCTTTGATACTATCGGATAAGGACGAAATCAAAACACATCAAAAAAGTGAACAAGTTTTGAAATCTATAAATGAATGGTGTAGCTTGAATTATTTATATTTGAATGCCTCTAAGACACAAATCGTGAAATTCCACAACTGGCAAAAAACATGTCTACCATTAACCGTCCGCATCAACGATATATTAATAAATAATACTAATGAAACAAAATTCTTGGGCCTGATCATTGATGAAAATATCAACTGGAAAAATCATTGTGTATTCTTAAGCAAGAGACTGAACTCTTTGTGTTATTTGTTCAGAAATCTCAAACAAGTCTTAGAGGAGCCTCAACTGTTATCCTTGTACCACTCTCAGGTAGCTTCAAGAATTAGATATGGTATATGTTTGTGGGGCAACTCAACTTCTACTCATGATATTTTCATCTTGCAAAAAAGAATATTGAGAGTAGTTGCAGGCGTTCCTTCAACCAACTCTTGTAGAGAATTGTTTGTTAAATATAATGTTCTGACAATATTTTCTTTATATATTTATGAATTATGCAACTACATATTTAAGAACAAAACTAAATTTCCTCTGAATAAAAACATTCATAACGCGAATACACGACAGAAAGAAAATTTTCATATTCCACATTATAAATACAGGGTATCACAAAACTCACCTGCATATATGGGTTTGATGATTTACAACAAATTGCCACAAGAAATAAAGAATACTAATGAGAGCGGGAAGTTTATCACAGCCCTTAAAAAATTCCTAATTGAAAATTGCTTTTATTCATTGGATGCATATCTCAAGATGTGATTATCATGTATAGAACTAATTAGTATTGTTCTATTATTGACCATTCATATACATATACATTTATGTTATGTTATGTCTATGTAATTATACTGTGCCCTTGTCCTCTTATACTCTTTTTTGTTTTTGATGTTGTTATTTGTTGTTACTTATGTATACAATACTGTGACGTATCCTATATCATATGAGTGATCAAAAGGACCAATAAAGATTATTATTATTATTATTATTATTATTTCAAATGGAACACCTTGTATTTTATTGCATTTTTAGATTCTCCCCGAAGAGCTGATTTCATCAATGCATCACACTTGGGGTCTAGCTGTAATGGTTTCAGGGATATAAAGATATAAAGTGTTCAAAATCGAGATTTTTCAACTTTAACATTTTTTTGTGTCGAAACTATTCATTATTGGTCAAAACGGCCCTCATGTCCCTATCTCAACTTGTGATTTACTATCTACTGACATTTATTTGAAACAAATACAGGGTGGTTCAAGATTCAGAATTCTGATCACCCTCTCGTATCTGTTCCAATTAAATGTTAGTAGATAGTGAATCACAAGATGAGATAGGGACATGGGAGTCGTTTTGACCAATAATGAATAGTTTCGATACAAAAAAATGTTAAAGTTGAAAAATCTCGATTTTGAACACCTTATATCCCCGAAACCATTACAGCTAGACCCCAAGTGTGATGCATTGATGAAATCAGCTCTTCGGGGAGAATCTAAAAATGCAATAAAATACAAGGTGTTCCATTTGAAATAACAAAGTTGTTGCTTCTTTTCGTTAGCAGCGGCAACGCCGCAGGGCTGAAAATATTGTAGGACGATGCCCCCCTCGAAAATGTAGTTGATGTGTTCCAGTTTTTTTTGATAATCCGGTTTTGGCGACCTACAAAGCCTCTGTTTCGTTTTCAAAGGCCCACTCTGTATGTATACGAACTTTTTTCTCATTTTGACGTCAGCAACATGCTCCTGAATTTTCTACACGTACTTAAGAAACACCCTGTATATCCAAATCGACAATTACTCAAAAATCATGTAGATTGAAAATGTAGGCGAAAAAAAAATGGAACAAATCCAACTTATTGAAGCCAAACTTTTGATAAATATTGACTTTTTTCAATACCATTTTCGAACTTACTGATGAATGAATCATCATTATCAACATAAGGTATATTTTGGCACACCCTTCTGCCTATCTAAAGGGATAAGAGTACTTGCGATGGAAAATTAGCATACGCCACCTGGCGGGGTTTTTGAAAGTTGTAAAAGCAATAAATTCACTCTGTTCACCTTTCGTTTGTGGTTAAGCTTATTGGTCACGTCCATCGAAAAGAATCGCTAACGTTTTTTTATCTCTTGAAGATCGTGCGAATTCTTTTTGTAACTGATATAGATTACAAGTCCTTGGGAATACTTCCTTTGACAAAGAATTTCAATGCTTTGCCGTTTTATAGACAAACAAGTTTTGGTAAAGGAATGTTCGAGATATTTCAAGGTTGACGACGAACGGATGTGCTGACTGGGCTTGTCGAGTACGTCTGACTAGTATAACTAGTGATGGAATGATAGCAGTGATTGCTGAAGAACATTTCTCATGGTTTCGATGGTGTCAAAGAATTAGTGAGTTTGGCATCAACCCACCAAGCGATGGGATCCTTTCAGGATTGAAGCTTAGAGCTTCAGCGTACGTTTGGGTGCTGAACCCCATATGTTGAAACAGTATTCAAGTTCATTATTCAGGAAACGCGTTTTTAAATCTTCCGGTAGTTTTTAAAATTGTCAACATATCAAAATTAGAGAAAATTTCATTCCGAAAACTAATAAATGGACTGACTATATTCAATGGTTTTACTATATAAGTTCTGGTTAGCGCATGAGATTTAAAATTTTCCAAATATTTTGGATAGACATCGCGGACCTTCTTTCAGAAGTCGGATTATGAAATATGGTTACCCAATACCCAGTGCAGTGTCTTGATGTGATGTTAATCAAAAACACTCAGTTCATTAAAAATTCTGGTGCATGTGCTTTTTTTTAATCTTTTACGCCGCACAAATGAGATTCTTATTATATTCCTGGAACTCCGTGCGGGTTTTTCGTTCTAGAGAATACTTCATCATTGGGAAACATTTTTTAAAGATTTACCGTTCTGACTAAACAAGTTTTAGTAGAGAGGTGTTCGACATATTTCAAAACTAACGAAAAAGGGCGTTGACTAGTCAAGTTCAACTGGCAGGTATTGCTGGTGAGGGAAAATCTATAGAAAAGTGAAAAGTCGTCAATTATCTCTCCTGCGATGTTGGAAAGATGTCAAGTGTGGCATTACCAACTAAACTGCCCC